TCAGGTCCCCTCTCAGCCTTCTCTTCTCCAGGCTGAACAGGCCCAGCTCCCTCAGCCTCTCCTCATAGGACAGATGTTCCAGGCCCCTGATCATCCTTGTAGCCCTGTGCTGGACTCTCTCCAGCAGCTCCATATCCCTCTTGTACTGTGGGGCCCAGAACTGTACACAATACTCCAGATGTGGCCTCACCAGGGCTGAGTAGAGAGCAAAGCTTGTTTGGTGACTGCTCCTCAGACACCACGTCCAGCTAGACGTGGACCCACCTCAGGGAGCTGAGGCCTGAGCTGCCATCTCGCTGATGGGGACGGGCCTGCCCATAAGCATGGAGCAGGGAGGTGGGAAAGAGAAGCAGGCAGGCCACAGGTGTCATGCTATCACAGTGTCAGCATCCACAAATCAAAGATTTTGGGGCCCTACCAGTAGAGATATCTTATTGCTGTGAGTAAAAATACAGCAAGTTTCCTTCTCTGCATAGATCCTCACCTGAAGTTTTGGTACCTCGTAAACAACAGCATTCAGTTCCTCAGATTACTTATGCTCCAGAGGTTAATTCTCTTGAAAATGGGGAGGATTCTTGGCCCTATTGAAGTCAGGGGGAGTTAGAATTTTACTGCTGAAGCATTTTAAAAAATATATCCATAAAGGTTATGATATTTTTCCAAATCAGGATGAGGCTACCAAGCATAAAACAAACTCTGCCTAGCAGATCCACCATTTTGCTTCCCTTGACATTTGGATATCACTTCTATGATTAGTACAGAATGGCTTTGAGGGGTGAAAGACTTGGAATGAGACTGGCATTAGTAAATACTATTACTATTGCTAACAGTAAATGCCAAGCCACTCTACTGAGCTTGTTTGCAATAAAGATCATGAGATTAGAGCAATGAAAGAATTTTCACCCCAATACAGCTAGGGGATATTGGAAACTAGGAATGGAGGATAGAGTGTGTATGGGGCAGACTCCATCTCAGTTCTTTCACATTAAGCAAAATAATCAGTACAGAAAAAAAAAAAAGGCCTAAAACGACAAACCAATCACACCTACTGATGCTGTGCGCATCTCTGATGTGGGGAAATTTGCCGCATTCATGAACTTTGGCAATCTATCTGTTTACAAAAACTATAGAATAAGGCTCAGGCCCAGCTAAACTGTAAGATACATTTGTCTCCATTAAAGTGTGCCTTAAATCTCTAGAAAAGGCATTTATTTAATCCAACTGAAGCTCTAGTTAAACCTGCACTTGTAGAAACAATGCCTAAATACTACATAAGGAACTGTTGGTTTCTCGCTAGAAGGCCAGCTGTGGATTGAGAGGAAAGTTTGAGGTCAAGGCTAAGAAGGAGGTTGTACTGCAGAGATAATGAAGTAACAGAGTTGTGAGTTCCTCACTGAGATAGACTGATACACCTACATGAGATATATATGAAGGTCTATCACTCATACACAGCATGTGTTTGTAGGTCATACTGGATTGCCAAAGCAGTACCTTTTATTTTGGCTAAAAATACCCATCTGCACATTTAATGGTATCACTTAGGAGGTGTCCTTTGAAAAATTAATTGAAAAATATATTGATAAAATATGTACAGAGAAACTTAATGTAAATATATTATACATATCTACATCTATATACCTGTATATAACAAACAACATACATTGAAAAGGTGAAGTTCCTCGTATAAGAGAAAAATTTTTACTATCATAAGATGTTTTCTGAAAATCATTTTTGAAGCAGTTATCATTAGAGAGAAACTGAATATTTGTTTATGTCTCTCATTCTTCAAGTTTATGCATGTTCAGCATGCATGTATCTAGAATTTCCCACCTTGCACTAAGATTGCATTCAATGTTCATCTTTGCATTGTGAGTCAGAATATTGTTGAGATTGGACAGATTATGGTAGACTGAAGTCCTACTAAAGCCAAGGGGAAATGTAAGGAACTGAATTATTTGAATATATACAGAAAGGCTTGCAGAGGAGAGAGATGGGCTTGCCGATTTCTCTAATAAGGATGAAAGGGGATAATCTTGAAGCTTTTCTTGATATTACAGACAATGATAATTCATTGATAATAGGTCATTTTTTAAAGAAAAAAAAAAGTGCTTCTGTTATATTTGTATTATTATTCACTTTGACAAAGTGTTTTGGTTTTTTTTAAGGTCAGGGGATCTATAATCCAGCTCCCTCAATCTGAAATTTATTCCTAGGTGGAACCACAGGCAAAGCAGAAACTACAGCAAACTTCTATATAGGATGAACTTTGATTCACATAGCCCTGTATGATGTTATTTAGGCTTAGTCATAGTGAACGTCCTAAATTCATGCCCTGACTGTGTATTAAAAAGATTCTCATGGAATAGTCAGCAAAGTCTGGTGCATTCATTGATATAATTTTATTTTCCAATTGCAGGCTCTAATTTTTCTTATAGTTGGCATAATCTTTATGATTGGAAGTATGACTCTAATTGTAATGGACTGGATTTACAACCCTCCGAGTTCCAGACATCACTAACCTATGAAGACATCAAAGTACTTTTTATACCATAAATATTTGTATTGTGTGCTCCAAAGGACACCTAAATGGGAATGTTATTCCTTGCTAATAACGGTTTCTGGTAACCTCCCTACAACCCAATGGAGTACTACATCATCCTTTCCACTGAGGATTATTATTTATGCATTAAGAACCTGAGCTTAGGATTTCTGCCCAGGTTAGATGAAATGTGTGGTGTGGATGCTTTCTATTTTCAAAACTATAATAAGAGTAATTGTGTATGAAGTCCTTTATGTCACCCTTTCCATCTCCTCCTTTCATGTTAATAACTATAGTTCCTAGAGCACTGGAAATGTAACGGCCAGAAAACTCACCCGTGCCTTGTTTTATATCTGAAACACATAGGAGAGGCTGCCTAACTTCCAAGACACACTGTAGGTGAGCTCAAAACTGGCTGCTGCCTACCAATGGGTCTGTAAGAAGGGTGTCAGCTTTGACGAGCCAGTAGGCAAAGCTGAGCATCAGATTTTGCCCAAATTCATCACCCTCAGCATGCTGTGGCTGTCTCATAGTCAGCTATCTGCAAGGAGACCTGGCACCAGGGCAGGAGCTTAAATAATAGTTGCACGTTCAAGGTGTTTTGTTGTTGAAGATGCCTGTGCTGGAAACAACAGGCATTTCTGGTGTGCGTTTGGGGAAAAAAAAACATGTTTTAAATTTTGTGTGAGCTTGCACCACCGAACAACTTGTATCCTCCACAAAAACTTGTCTTCCATTCTCACAGAAATTAAAGGAGACCACGAGGTGTGGCAAAGCACACTGCTCAGTATTGTTCAGTACTTGTGTGTTTGATAAACGTTCAGTGCGGGAAACTGTGATTCACTATATATATATATATAAATATACATATATTTATGTACATAATCTTTTGCTTTCCTCTGGTTATCAAAATGTTATCCTACAGTGCATTATTTTTGATTTTTTTTTACATGTGTCACACTGTTTTAATAGCCACACATTTTTTATTGTTTTGAAGAAAACATATTGGGCTTGGTGGGTTTGTAAAAGGTCCCGTTTTATTCAGCAGTGTTTAAAACGTACAAGCCCTAGCCATTATCTGTGTAAAAAGAAATTAATATGTTTACTGCATATGTTACAATAAATTGCAATATACTTTTCTCTTGAGAATTTTTAACATGTGCCTCAAAGTTCTGCATTATCATTGTGAACTACAAATCTGGGTAAGATCTGTTGCTTTACCTTAGTTTACATACGTATATGCTAGCATTCGATGGCATATATAATTAAGCTATGTAAAGGCAAAGTTATTACTGGTGATCCCAAGTGTATCATTCTATGCAGCTGTGCGAGACTGAAAGAAAACGTGAAGTTCCATGTGATAAGGATGATTAATTAATGCTCAGGACCCTACAGAGTGGAATTTTCTCTGAGCTATGGGGTGCTCCGTACAAGGAAAAACAGTGACACTAATTCTGTAATACAGGGAGTGCGTGGGGAGGCCTCACAGTTAATTTGAACATGCTTACACAGATCCAGGCTTAGATAATCAGGGTTTTCATTCTCCAACATAGAGATCTATTGAGTGAATTCAGAAAGTCATAAAACACACAAATTTGTCTCTGCTCATGAGTCACCTTTGTATGAAATTGTATGCTTGTGCATGTGAGTGTATAAATGTATGTATACATAAGTTAACTGAAAAAGCATCTCAAATAGATATTCCATGCTGACCACTATCTTTCTGAGCAGTATTTTATGCTCACTTAAGTACTGTATCCTTAATATATTGAGGCGTATTTGCTTGTGAATACTAAGTCTGGTTTTGCACTTTTAGAGGGAAAAGTCTGCAATAATATTTTGCTCTAGTTTAAGCAGACTAATGCAAATGATGTTGCGTTAATACTGAAGAGACCTTTAGCATGGACTAGAGTTAACAGTCATACACACACACACACTTCTCTTCTTGTTGATGTTATCGAGGACTATGTATATGGAATAAATGAGCTGTAATTGCATTTTCATTTTAGTATGCAAGTGCATGTAGTAACTGTGGTTGCCATTTTGTAGCCCACCTAAAATGTTGACAAAATAAAGAGATGTAACAGAAAAGGCTATAGGCAACAGCACAAGTTACTGCTTTTTCATGGCGCAAAAACTAGTGGTATCACACAACGAATGACCTTCCATAATAGAGAGAATCGTAAAGGCCAGATTTTAAAGCTAAAGTGTATAGATACTTACTCACAGCGTTATGTAGTAAGGGGTAGCAAGGATACTACAGGGAGTAACATAGTATTGTACATTAACTTATTTAGCACTACTGAGGATGATGGATGTTGGAGTTTCTTGTTCATTTTGTAATGCTGACACTAGGTCTTGGTAGAATTTTTATTACAAAATATTGATACACAATAAATGAACTTTTCAAAGATTGAAGATTTTCTTTTCTTCTGTTTTAGGCTAGCAGGCAAAGACTTTTTTTTTAAGTACATCTGGCAAACTGGTAGCTTTATCGTGAACATCACTAAAACTGCATTCCCTGTAAGAGAGAAACTTGTGTATCCATAAATATGCAGACGAGAGTAAAAGAGCAGACACCACAATCTCTCCATAGAAAAACCCTTTTATATGCCCTATTTTGCAGCTATTCATGGAGATTCATAGACATCACCGAGTAAAGAATAGCTGGCATTAAATCTGGAGTTATCTGCAAGATACTGTATGTGTTGTTCTCTGGAGCATGGGATTAGTCAGGATACACAATGTAAGAGCTAAGTATAGTTACTATTAGGAGTGCACACCAGATGGTACTGCTCTATATAAATACTTCCCATAATTGAAGCTGTAGGTTATCCTGCTGTTACATATTTGTCTGGTGTATAATCATAGCCCAAAATATACTGGTCTATAGGTCGCTCTGGCACTGATGATCTCATATGAGAACCACATTTTCAGCTCCGGCAAAGCAGGGTTTGTAACCTTTCTACTCATGAGAGAGGCATTGAGAACCTGGACACTTGCTAAATAAACACGTAATACCCGAGGGCCCAGGGACCGGGGTCTGCATGCCCACTGCCACGAGCAGGGGGTCACCACATGTACTGTAAGGCCTCCATCCATCCTCAGAGCCCAGACCAAAGGGCGATCACTGCTGTCACCTCAGCCCTGTGGTTCGCAATTCAACCCAAAGTGCTTTAATTAGGAGGCCACCCTGAAAGATTAACATGTTTGCTTCTGCCATCTCTGACTCTGGCACTCACTCCCAGTCAAGAGGAAAATCATCCTGGCATGAATCTCGACTGGTGGCACTCGTACTGCAAAGAACAGCTGCTCTCAACTTAGCCTCACTCTTCCTCCTCCTCAGTTAGTTTGCAGGCCACACTGCCACTGCTGCCAGACCTGCTCCTCTCCAGGACTGCAGTTCTTGTCCGGTCACTGCATCCAGGACAGAAATTGTTCACATATTTTTCTTCTTACCTTTCAGTTAGGTATCCTTAGTTCCCTGTAGCATTTACTTGTGCTGTTTTGATTCTTAAGCTTTAAGTTCCCTGCAGTAGGGAGTTATTTAATTGAGTAATTAAAATGGTGGGAAGTGAATGAAGGAAGTTAAAGAAAAAGCATGCTTGCAAGGACAAAAAGAAATATATACATATATTCATATATATATATGAAATTTTAACAGTCATAGAGCTGTGTTTTTAAATAGAAATGATAAGAATGCCAGGAATGATACAGAAACGTAGAAATGATCGATAAATATTTCAGCTCTGGCTTTGGAAAGAAACAGAACAACGGACACTCATTAGAGGGCAAAGTCATCTCTAGTCCATAAATAATCAAAAATGATGTTAAAAAAAATCTATCTGAATAGAAAGGCAGCAGGCTTAGATAAGATACAAAAGCAGCTGGCTCTCTGGTGTTAATTTTCAGTAAACCTTGGCATGCTTGGCTAGTTCTCAGTGGCTGACATAATAATAATTAGAGCTAGTCAGCAATTACTCACTAAGAGGTTCAGTCAGTGGTATTGATGGAAAATTCCTCTGACTTTAAATTTCAGTGGAAGTTTTACTGAAAATGTGCCATTGCAACAAATTTCTGACAGAACCTAGGCAGACTGTAATGGAAACCTGCCTGGTTTTCCATTAAGCCGTCTGGCAACGAGCTGAAGGCTTCCAGGAGTTGTAACTTCTGGCCTCCGCAAGCCCTGGAAGCTGGATTCCCCCAAGGCTATCTATCCAGTGGCTTGATATAGGGCCAGCATGCTGACAGCAAGCCTGGGTAGCCCTGATGCTTTGGCTTGGGGTCTGGGGTGAGCTCAGGATTGCAGATTTTCCTACTGTGGAGCTTGGTCTCAGTGCTGCTATGACAATCCCTTCAACACTTTCAAAGTAGTAATAATGCTACCCAGTAGCATCCTGCAAAAAAAAAAATATTCTGGAGAACTGAAGTTGCAGCTTCTATTTAAATAAATCAGCACTTGTTCCAAATATTTTATACTCTTGTACAGAACCTGGGTGATAAAACTGTTTCCATAAGAGCGCAGGAGACACAAAGCTGGAAGGGTTCTCAAGTAGCCTTGTACTCCAGACCTCTTTCATGAGTTAAGTAACAGTGCTAGATTCACGTTGACAGGTACCTTGCATCCAGCTGCCTCTATCAAATATTCAGTAAATTCCATGGGGGAAAAGCTTGCAGTGCTATCATGGTCATTAAAAAATGTAAGGAGCTCCTGTTTCCAGACACACAGGAGACACTCCTGACAAGCCAGAAGTCTGACAGCATCTGCCCTCGGTACACTGAGTCACTGCGGAGGCACCACAGTTTGTCACATGCAGCTAGTTCAGGCAGCACTTCAGAAGACTACAAAGCACCTCTGTTGTTGAGTATAGCAATAAAAACATCTCTGTAATATGGATCCTAAACTCCTTGTGCCAATGTGGTGAACTAAGTTCTAAATCTAACTAATCTATCTATAATGATAAATAGCTGTAGAAATCAATGCGCTGTCCTAATTTTGCTGCATAAAACGAGATGGAGAGCTTGTTCTGTTACTAACAATAAAACAAACATGTTTGTCTCCTCAAAGAGGTCAAACTAAATGTAATGGGACACTTGCTTGGCCAGGACGCTCTGGGACACATTGAATGTTTCAAGTTCCACACATTCAAATGGAAAGGGCTCACAGCATTCATTTGTCTTTACAAGGCATGTGCCTCTGCTGGCACAATCATCTTAAGTCTTGGGAAAGCTACCCTGCCCTAAGTAACAGATTGTCTATATCTAACTTGTTACCTAATTATTTATTCCCAACAGTACCTCCTTTTGGGCAGGAAATAACAGTTGCATGCATGACCTTCTTTTCTCTATCTGACCAGAGTGAAATTTCTGCTTCTTCCATCACAGACCATCTGACTCATCTCCTCCTTTATCTTTTGAGAATGTTGTTGTTACACACAAGCTGGAACAACTGACCTGTTCTCAGATTGCTTAGGTCAAACTAAGTCAATAAACAGTTTTGCATGTGTGAGTTAATACAAGTACTGATACTATGATTATCACTGGAAAACCTACAGGGCTTAACATAATACTAGTTTTCAGCCTCTAATATTTCAGAATCCCCCTGGGAAGAAGCTGTTTCTGAGGCAGATGCCTTTTCAGACAGCCCATGCTGTTTTCCTTTTGCCTTTCCTTTGCCTTTTCCCCAGCCCACTGATTCCTATAGGCTTGCTTGGTGTCCTCCCCTCCATTTGGAAAAGCACCATCTAGCCATTCAGAGGCACCTCAGCTTCATATATAATCAGTGGACAGAAATAGGTGCCCTACTTATGTCCCTGAAACTCCACTGCAGACGTCACAAGCCACCTGTTTTCTGCCATCAACTGCAATGATCTACTACATATATTCAGAACATGCAGAAAACTTATATAAATTTGACTCCATGGGGCCTGGAAATCACTTTTGGGGTATTTCAGGGATGAAAATGCATACTTAAAGTGGGTTGTCCTAATACACTCCTCTGTTCCTAATAATATTTTTTTCATTCTACAACTCGTTTTACAAATTTTCTGTAAAATACAATTAAGAACTTTTTAATCTATCTTCAGAGAAATCCTGGGGCATTCAAACCGCCCCTGGTTTTACACCTGTGAATAAGAGGGAAGGTGTATACAAGCTGAACAGAAAATTGTTTTCCCCATTATTTTGTCCAGGTAATCATGTGTCATACTGCAGACTGCTGTAAGGAAGATGTGTGTAACAACAAGAAATCTTCCTTTGATTCCTTATACTACTCATCAAGAATCTCTAGACTGTTATATTAATAACTTTATCAGAAGTGAGTTGCACAAACACCAGCACAGCAAGCAACTGAAACAACAATAGGCCATGAAAGCAACTATGATCTCAATAGCTACAGGAAAACCAAATACAAGATTACTCAGAAAGCAAGTTTGCCTGAAATTGTCTTAGACACCCAAGATTTCATAGTACTATGTGACAGGAGAGTTGCATTCAGTCAGACAGCACTTACGGTCTGGAGAGCGAAGCAACCTCTTCAAGAATAATTTGTTTTTTTAACTGTACACACTTCCAGAGCCATGAACTGATTCATTCTGGTAAAATAGCAATATTTTGCCTGGTTTCAGATCCAAAAGAAGATCAAAGACAATCTCAATATTCCTGTTCAAAAGGAGAGTGTCACTGGCCTCCAGACCAAAGGTGGGACCAGAATTGTTTCTCCATCATAGACACATCTTTGATGTCAAGTGCTGAAGTCAAGCACTAAACCCTTTAGCCAGCATCTTCCAGATTCAATGCCAAATCAGAGAAAGGCCCCACAGCTATGTGCATGTGTGCAAATTTATTTACAATTCTTAGAACAGTTTGATAGAATATTTTGATTATCACATAAAATGTTAGAAAGAAAACTATTAAAATAAGAAAAATAATATTTTCCTATGATCAAACCGGATATTTTCCAGTCACAGAGGAGCTTTTTCAGTTTCACTTTCAGTTTTCATTCTACCTTGCAGTTCACAGTCAGTGAAGAAAATGAAATGCAATAATAATTTTAGCAATAAAATGTGAATTCTAGCAGCCTGCAAGCTGTGCTAGACATTCACTTCTGTCACCAAAAAGTCAGGCACAGAATTTTGTCTTCTTTCATCAGCAGCAACACCCATCTTTTCTGAGCTGTTGGAGGTAGAACGCAAGAAAGTTGTACAAAGAACTACTTGAAATCAACTGCAGATCACCTCAAATGCCCAAGTCCATCCTACTTGCCACAAAATGATATGTGACATTTCAACCTCAATTGCAGTTGGAAGGAACAGCTTTCTCTCTCTATGAGCAGAAACTAGAAATTGCTTGTTTTTGTCCAGATTCCTCCCTCAAAAGATAAAAATAATTTCCTGCAAACCTGTCTGTAGAGAAAAACAGCAAAGGATAATGAAATGAGGAGAACTTCAACATTTTTAAAATTGG